CTTCCACCATTAACATGGAGAGAACTATTGTAACATTTGCGTGTGGGCGTGAAGGCAGTGTGCAGATTACTGTGTGTGAATCAAATAATAATTTCATATTTCATACCACAGACAAAGGTCGGTTGATCATTCATTAAAACCCCTCATCCGTTACTCCTGTGTACATGATACGTGCCCTATAAAGAATTCCATACACCCAGTAATAACTACACCTACTATGTAACATGCTTAGTAGAGAACAAATACAACAAATCGGTATACTATTGAGCGTGTAACGTGTTTGTTTGCGTATTCAGGGCGAAATCTGTACAAAGATGGCTACTTCTAGCTCGGTGATTAGGAACGGGAAGCTAGATGAATTAAGACATGAAATCTTGTCGTACAAACCAGGCAAGGCTGTACCTTGTGATGATGAACGAGTGGTGTTTCCTGATACGCTTGTTATTGGTACGATTAAACTGTCCATGAATGCGTACAGCATAGTCCCTGCCCTGAGAAGTGCACTTTATGGAGACGTAGAGCAACGCAAGCTTGCTGATGAACATCAAACATCTACTGAGGATCAGGAGGAATATCTCACCGATTCTATATACGTCATCACAAGAGAAGCTCTCTTCTCAGGTTTGTATATTGAAAAATGTTGTTTTTGTTTGTGTTTGTTGTAAATCCGAAATGATACTACGTACGCCTCCACTATGAACATGTATCGTTAATGGAATAAAAGCTATTTCATTAACCCTAAGGTAGGTTTTTGGTAAAATAATGAATTGCTTTGGCAAATTACCCTTTGTCCTTAATAAACTAGCATTAAAGACTCTCGAAATATGTCGGGTAAAACAAATAATTTATTTGTATTTCTTATTTTGTTCTTCATTGTCTCTAGATAACACTTATGCCCACGTGCCCAACATGACAGAATGTATACCCAACTGCGTGTTTGTGAATTTGTAGTAAACAATGATTGATTTGTTCGTTTTGTAGAAGAAAATAAATTCAATTCAATTCAATTATGGTGGTTTTTGCAAAACTCCGCGATGATCCTATTTTAGCGTGAAATTAACTTCATGTCGGTAGGATACTACACTGCATTACAATCATACGTAATTCAACAATGTCATAGCTGTATTCAGTCGCTTGAATTGTATAATTATTTTTGCTAAATATCAGACGTCCTTAACATTTAAATTGTTTATATATTGAGGGTATAAACCATGACATACGCCTGAGTGACCCATGAACTATTGACATCATTTCACCTCTATCGTCTGAAAGGGATAAATATGTGAACATTTGCGTTCTTCTAAAAAAGTCACTTTTTAACAGTAAAAAGTAACTTTTAGAATACTTATTACATGTCGCACATCAAACACATGGAGCGCAATATATCATATTTCTATTTTATAACAAAAATCGAATAAAAACAAACGATTATGTGTTAGCCGTTGATTAATTCAACATGTCATCTATCTGAAACATTTATTGGTAATGATGTGTATGTTTCACTGTGACCATATACCTGACCTGCCTGATGTATTTAATTAGGAGGCTAGCTAGCAGGGTATTATCAATGGCGGATCCGGGGGGGGGGACACAGGGGGCGTGCCCCCCCCGGCCAAAAAAAAATATGAACAATTTTTTTTATTTTTTTTAAATATGCCAATGGCTGACCTAAAAAGGTGACCTTACCCCCCCCCCCCCCCCCCCCCCCCCCCCGCTTATTCAGCGGCTGGCTCAGTCGTTGCGATATTTTTTGGGGGGACTAAAAAGAAGAAAAAATGTTCTCTTTCCCACCGTGTGCCCCCCCCCCCCCTCCCTCCGGCAAGAAATTACTGGATCCACCCCTGATTATGTACGAGCATACAACTGTGTATTTAAATTGGAGAAACAGGTCTTGGGACATGGTCAATCTTCAAATACGACATTACGATTATCAAAAGGAACTGCGAATAATAGGCCAGTTTCGTAAAGTATTCAGAGACCTTTAAATCGCATTACGTAATCGGAGGGTCGGACAAGCAAAGAACTCGCGGTGCGTAGCAGACTACACTTTGCGTGCATACCATACATGACTGTGTTCGCTAGGTGTGATTGTATCGTTTGTTTTCGCTATTTTGAGAGAGAGAGAGAGAAGAAAAAGGAGGCAGTTTCAAACTTGAATAATAAATATCTTTGAGATGTGATTTTGTTCTTCATACATTTGATCTTTAAAATCGCTGAGTCCTAGGCAACAATAATAGAAAAGCATTGCTGGTACAGAACTAGCGATTCACATCTTGCAGCTAAACCTGTTCAGCCAATTAAGTCCCCGGTACAGGCAGCGCACGATACCCCCTCAAAAAGAAGAAAAACGAGGTCGATGATACAAGCGATATTGGCTTGAAAGCCAGTGATGAAACAGAAAGCGAAGCACCAAAATATAAGTTAGCTAGCCGATATCGGTAATTTCCATTCAATTTTGCATTTACCTTAGCTTGAATCTGAGTACAAATTAGGACGTAGAAATGAAAGATTGATGAACTATTTTCCACTCGTTCGCACACACAGTCACCTCTGCTTGCAGAAGCGTGCGCGCGTACCACGTGTTCGTGTTCGTGTAGGCGCGATTCACATTTTCAAAATGAAAACAATTTTACGGATTAAAAAATGTTTGTGAAACGCCTCGATACGGACTATTTCAAGGCGGACGAGAAACGGCTAACGAGAAGCAAGCACTGACCGCAGAATCAATATTATTAACAAAAGCAACGAGAAATAATGACAATAAAGGTAATAATATAATATAGACAAAGGTCTTTGTTAATAAAATAATATTTATAAAATAATATCGTCCGATGACAGAGAGCTAGAATAAGAATGATGAATAATGATATACAAATAATTTTGAACGGAAAAAATGAAGAAAAACAATGAACAAGGAAAAAGAATGATAGAGCAATGGAAAAAGGGAGTAATAAAAGTAATAAAAAAAAACCTTATGATGGCAAGGAAGAAGAATCAGGATGATGAATAATTTTATTGTTTAGAATAAGATTAGGAATTAAGTTTGATTTTCATAAAAATAAAAGTTAACAGTCTAGTATTAGACTACAATTATGCCGGACCTTCGTTATTCAACTTCAAGAAGCAATTATTATTATTTAAAAAAAAACATTTAAAAATAAAACTGTTATTACATTTTCTATTAGATCTAGTCTAGACTTCTACTTTTTATTTGTTTATTATTTATATAGTTTTTCTTTTTGTTCAAGTTGGTATGTTCTGTCTTTTTGCGTCGGTTTGACCTGTATAATCTAGTCACAAGTCGCTATCATAAGCTGCCGAGAGCTAACTAGAGGGAGGATTGTACTCTAGCTTCTCCAGGCCACATAATCTATGGCCATCGGGAAATATCAATCGAAAGTCTTCAAAACTCTTAAAAGCCTTCAGTTTTCGACGATCATAAATGCATGGTCCGCCATATTCTCTACTAGATAATTGAATACGTCATAGGTCCCAAAGTCAGGAATATCGTCAAACTTAAGGGAGGTATGTAACTAGTTCACTTAACGAAAATCCTGCCCGTTGTAATTTCCCCATACAGTCACGTCTACCGAGTGACACGGACCCCGTAGGTCAGGGGCTACGGGCAGCCTAGTCCGCTACTGCGGACGCTAATTTAACGAGTCTTTTCTCGGGTGTATACCGTAGTCGAAACTCCTCTTTTTCTTAGAAAATATTGCAGCTGCCTGAAACTCAGCTTGATGAATGGCAAGTTGGAAGACATTTCCGGCCAAAACAGAAATTCATATATATACACGCAGTTTTGATAGAAAGATATGAATGCAATTTAACGGCAAGAACCGACAGTCTAATACACAATGCACAGATTCAAAATGGTGATTTGACAAAGCTTGTCGGGCTTGGTTACAGTAACCGCGCATTACGTAACCGCCGAAACTGGCCTATTACATCATTTTGTTATTTCCTCAAAAGCCCATGGAGATACAAACAAGGCTCCATAACAAGCTTTTCTCAAATACGATTTCAATATCATGAAGCTCAAACAGTGATAGATGCATCATTTCATTGAAGAGAGTGATGTCTTGGGCTTTTCAAACATCCTCAGTTTGTTGGTGTCGTTATGGGTGTTTTATTCAGGGTTTTGGAATTGTACCATAATTGTCCGCACTGCAATTCTTACACAATTCCCACATGACATTATACTTATATAGGACAACATAGATTCATGGATTCATCATTATTTTGGCAACCCCTTCTTAGTATGATTCCACGACTTTCAAACTCATGTAAGATTCTTTTTATGAAACGCATTAAGTTCACTGTTTATATTTTCACAAAATATTATTCTGTGTGGTTCATTAAATGTTATTGCACAAACAATTCATTCATTTGTGTTATTCTGGCATATTGCATGCAGTTTATAGAACTACACAAGCTTGTCTATTTTGTTATTTCTCTCCTTCTGCATGTTGGCTAAATATCATGTTCATAGTATCTGAAAGGTTCATCATGCACAATGTATCAAATACGTTCTCTTTTACCATCTTACCAGTTTCAAGCGAAAAAGATGTACATGTACGACGCCTTGCTGGGAAGGTCGGATGTATCGTGCTGTTACTAGAGTGAGTATTAATCTTCTCGCTCTACATATTCACATGGCCAATTCAATTTGAATGATATAGACTACCATTTTTGTAATCGCATGGTAATGCTGGAACGCTTATGGCTGCAGTAGATGGTGCCTTTGAAATATTTATATGGGTAAAATAAATTGTGTTTTTGGAGATTGAAATCAATATAATATACTGCCCATTCGTATGCGGATACGTTTGGGCAGGGGGGGGGGGGGGAGGGGGAGCAATGTCATGGTTTGCCCATAGCGGAATAATACTTAGATACGCCACTATTTATCACTTTCGTCCATTCAAACGTGATTTTATAATGTTTCTCCTTACTTCTGTTACCCGAATTTGACAGCAAGGTGCCCGAATATGTTTGATATCTTTACATCTTTAATATCGAAATTATGAAGGATTCACGGTCATAAATTACGGCGCTTGTGGGCGGCGCGTGACATCGTTCTGAAACCGCGGACCGAAACATTTTTCGGGGCAATGTGGCAAGGAAAATCGGCAACAATTTCTTTTCTTTGAGGTGGCCTTCGGTATTGGCGGGTTGAAAATCAAATTGTGTGCATTTTATTGTCATTACCTCTTTAATTATCACCACGTGATAATGACGATTTTGAATCTGTGCATTTTCTCATTTTTATTAGACTGTCTATTTTTGACCTTTACCTACCATGCATCAAGGCAATAAAGAGCATTACAGGTAAGTTTGCCCACAATCCTTTACGCTATAGGTGGGACGAGAATCTTTAAACAATTGTGAATTAATAAACAATTGCACTGTTGATACACACAATGCAGTGATGTAAACCACCGTATTGATTATAAGAATGGACGAATAAAGATATGAAAAAATGAATAACATTACGAGCCATATTATTTTCACACAAGAAACTTTGGAATATAAAGGTTGGTAATTTGTATTTACATATAAAGATTCATGTTATTTGCCATGCTATTAAATTGGTAGGTACGTGTATCTAACGATAATGACACCTGCTATAGAATGGTTTTTCAACAGTTATGACTAGGACATAAAACAATCGAGGAAACAACCATAATTCATGCAATATGACCCTAAAATCAAGTACTTATCTTAGTTTTCTATATTATCCATTATGCATTCAAGCCCTTAATTGCACCTTATCAATTTCGATCATGATGATATCGTGAACTCTAACACGCCCTTCGTCAGTTTAATTTGTAAATTAAATACCTTTTCTTTCCTTGTGCATGCATGCAGATACTTTTCTCTTTTTGTGTAGGCCTGTATTATTATATAATAGGCCCATGTGATTACAAATTTTGATTTTCATAGTTGTAAATGTATAATTATCTCCTGACTACGGCTATGTTTACTCCCTTTTCTGGTTCTTCTGCAGTCTCTTTTCTTGATCATTTTTCTCTCCCCCCCCCCCCCCCCTCTCTCCATCGATCCTTCTCTCACTCGCCAGTTCTATTTACAACCCTAAAATGGTGATATGCTCTATGCACATACAGCACGTTTAATGGCAATATTCGAGCACAGATGTGAATAAAAAATAAACAGATTCGATCCTTACTCTGGTGTAAAAATTGTACCCCCCCCCCCCCCCCCTCTAACAAAAAGGGATTAGGTGACGAATGTGGGTTACATATAATTATAGAGGTCATGAGACGATTAAATGACGTTTTTGATTGAACTGATTTGTTTTCTTTTGGATAGGTCTCGTCCCTGTATGTGCAATGGAAACCGGGCCAAAAGAATTCCTCGAGTATGCAAAAAAAAAACTAAAAAAGCTCGGGATCACTAAGATCTATGACGTCCCTCCCATTTTTGGCAATCGCTCAGATAAGAAACCGTTGCAGTGGCTTGACCTCCTTCATGGATGCATGAAGAAGGGTGACGAAGGAATGTCTGCTGACCTAATACAGCTTTATTCGTTACCCAGCTTTGAGCGGTTATGGAACCAAGGGAGAAAGGGTGTCACAGAAGCACAGACGATACACGGAGAAGAAATCAAAGAAGGAGAAGAAGCAAAGAAGTTACTCCAAGGAAGAATTACAGACTTAGAGCAGGAACTCAACGAGTCCCGTGCAAGTCGCAAAAGCATAGTCAGTGAAAATGGAAGACTACAAGATACCATGAAGGTTGAACAAGAAAGGCGTGAACATAGTGAAAGGGCAATGATGGAAAACGAGAAAAAAGCAAAACAGATAATGGAGACGTACAAGCAGAGGGAGATGGAATTTGAAAAGAAAGTACAATCAAAGGATCTGCGTATTGAAACAATGGCTGAAAAATTACAGGGGACAGAAGAGAAGGCAAGACGTCAGGTTGAGCGACTAGAGACCGACAACGAAGAAATGATGACGAAATTAGTGTCTAAGCTACTACAGGAAGACACTTTGACACAAACGCTAGAGGAGAAAGAGCGGAACGTAACAACTCTAAGACAGCAAGTTGAAGAATTAAAGAAAGGAAGAGAGGGAGACAGAGCAGGAGCTGAGAAAGAGAAGCGCTCACTGGCAGCAGAAATGACGAATATTGTACAGGAGAAAGAGCGGAACGAGACGACTCTAAGACAGCAAGTTGAAGAATTCAAAAAAGGAAGAGAGGGAGACAGAGCGCGATTTGAAAAAGAAAAACGGTCAATAGAATTAAGCTGGAAGAAGGAGCATGACTATAAGGAAGGGCATTTGGAGCAACTTAAGCGTGAGACCTGGAAGCTGAGAACCAAAATTCAACTAGAAAGTGAGATACGATCAGCAGAGCAGAAGAAGAAAGCAGAGACACATCAATGGAGTTTCATTCCCTGGGTGTCTTCTGGAAAACAAGCTCAGAGTGGTAAGACTTTATTTTCCAATCTCAATTTCCTTTGAAAGTTTTATTGTTAGAGCATTATACTATATACATTTTTGGAATATGTATAATGTGAATGTAATATGGTCTTTATAGCTCGCTACCCCATTTTTGATATACTTTGAAATTAATTAGAATAATAATAATACTCCGTTTTTATATAGCGCTTATTACAATCACTAAGCGCTTCCAAACTTGGAGATTATTACCCCGGCTTTAGCTGTGCTGCCATTACGGCGCTCTAGCATTTCAAAGAATTAATTCTTGCCAGGTACCCATTTACATCACCTGATGGGTTGAGTGTGGCAAGTGTAGAACAATGTCTTGCCAAAGGACATTAGTGCCGCAGCGTGTCTCAAACCGCGGACCTTATGATCGACAGTCCGACGACTTAACCACTCGACCTCGGCATAGAGAACATTCCAAATTTGTATCTTAAATTCTTTTTTTCCCCCTTCTCATTCAAACTGACTTCATTCCTTCATGACAGGCACATCATCATTTGAGGCTAATTCAACCGGAGGACTGGGGAGTGATACAGTACAAGCAGGGTGAGATAAAATATCTTTACTCTTTACATGACAAATTGACAATAAACGCATTATTTCTCTTATAGTGACAACACTACTACGGAATGTACTTTGGTGTGTAAAATGAGTGGTGCTAGACGGTCAATAACAGTGCTAAAAGTGCGGCAACACTTATGTTCTATAAATCCAAAATCATGTTTAGATATTTCGTGACCACCTGTGATTATCTAAAAGCAGAAATGAATAAAAGATCGAAACTCATTAACAAAAACATGAAAATCTTAGCTGCATTCCAGTCTAAAGTGATTTGAATTGAAAGTGAAATCTTTTAATGAATTTAAATGAAATGTAACAATTCGAGCATGCCGAGCATGGTCTTTAAAATCACTGTCTATTTGTGTCAGTCAACTGCTATAGGTTGACTTTGACAATGAAAACGTTATGTAATGAAACAAATAGAAGATGATACTCTTGATTAGAGTTATAATATAACATAATCCTCTATAGTCTCATTACCGGAAGAACTTATTTTGACTTTTTTATAAAGATTTGTACTAATTTAAAGTTCATTCGTCATACCTATGTTCTCTGACCGCCCCATGTTTGTCTTTTTTACCGTTCTAGAGAGGAGCCCCCAGACGATGAGTTTGCAGACATCTTAATGAAGATAGCTGACGATCTTTACGATGAAGCCAAGATCGACAGCCTTGCTGGTCAGCTGGGAATCCTACATGGTGATATACAGAGAGCACTCATGACCAATATGAGGTTCGGCCGTGTTACCAGTGATGGAACTCGCCGTATGCTGAAACAATGGAGAAGAGGTGTGTCGAGGGAAGATGAACGGATTGAGCTAACGAAGGCACTGCAAGCTGCCAAGTTGGTCAACCTTGCAGACCTTTATCTCAGCGGAGGTAACGTATATTTTCATTAAGAATAATTGTAGTTTCGTAATGACGACCCCATTCAACACTTCAGCAACATGCTGTTCTATTCGGTATACAATACGGCCCATGTGTTTAGAGTCAGATTGACGGTATTTTCTGAAGCAGATTCGTTTTCCACATTTTTACACTGTTGATATAAATACTAAGGTGACGTAATGCAGAGAGGAGATACTTAAAAAGAGCTTAGGTACAACTTTCAGTTAGCATTTTCTTCGTGAATAAATAGCCAAACAGATGCTTACTACCAACTTCAAGTTCTTATCTACTACCTGGTGAAATAAAAAATAAAAGAAACTCTGAAATTCACTGCGATAAGTTCTACACAATCATAATAATTCAATTTGGTCTGTTTTGAGAAATAAACCAATTATCTGATTTCTTTCTTACTGCCGGTTAGGTGTAGTAGAAGAACAGATCGATGCTGAATATGCCAACAAAGAAGTCAATAATCAGCAGCTCTCTACTAGAGATGAGGCCTCTCTAGAAGAGGACCAGACCAAAGGACAGACCGACACCCAGGTACTTCAGGAAGCTACAGCAAGCAATGACCACACTCCTCGAGATGGGCATACAGGAGACATGGCTTCCAAAACCCAGGATGACTTGACGGATAGAAGTAGTAGTCGACATCCTGACAAATCGCCGGTGCGCAGTACACAGAACGTGGATGCATCTGAAGTGACTTCTGAAGACGTGTCCTCTGAAGAAGTTCATGCTGGTGATGATATGACCGATGTAAGTAGCATTCAACCTGCTGAGCAATCGTCCATACATGAAATGCAAGACGTACCTGAAGATATGTCTGAGATAGCCCCTCTGGTATCTTATGGTGGAAAACCCGACGAGGAATCCACCATCTTGGAAGAAGAAGATCTGATTTCTCAACTCGTTCTTATTGATCCATTCCCGGAGAAAATAATGCTCCTTTTCCTCCTAAAGATAATAATGGATGTTCCCCAGAGAGCATTCAGCTTATAAGGAATCACTAGAGAACCTTCATCAAGCCAAGTTTACGAACAAAAATCTAAGCTTGCGACGTTTCAGGTTCACTCCTGGATGCTTCTTCGGGCCGACCGGTCTCTGATGCCATATGATTCTTGACCCGTGAACATGGTGCTCCGGTCGACGAACGTCAGGAAAGAACTGCCCTTCTCTGATAACCTTTCAAAGACCCGTAGGTATAGTGGGCCTGATGAAGCGTCCCGCGGTGGACGTATGGCGTCGTAAACTGGAAAACAATCCAGTTTATTTGTTTATAACATTTGATGTTACATGTATTTCTAAGCATACTTTGTTCATGTTATATTGTAAAACAGCATCTGAGAAACTAACACTTCAACAAGCTCTACTTCAAGTTAGTTCCTCTTTTCTCGTGCTTTTTCCATTATATTTGTCGTTTCATTCCATGTTTTTTGTGATATAATTATTCTTGTATTATGTTTTGCATGTGAAATAAAATCATTTTAATTATTGAATTATTATTCAATTACCTGAATGGTTAAGAACAGTAATAGACATAACCTTCATCATCATTAACCAAACCATATTGTGTTTATTGCAATGTTAAAACTTGTATCCAAACACCGCATACATAATTCAACTATGCTTTTTTGTAATTAAATATGACAAGAATTGCATGCAGAGCGTGATTTTGTTCAAAGAGTAGATTTTGATTTCTCTTTTGGTATTATAGTTACATGATATAGAACTTCAATAAATGTTAGCAATTATAACAATATCCACTTATTACAGCCGGAGCAAATTTTATATATTTTAAAACTTTAATCTCTCCAAAAAAAAATTAGTCATGGTCAATCATTTAATGTTCGAATCTCATATTTCATTTGATTGCTTAAAAAATAATTCGAAGCAGAAGAATCGAACTATTTCGATTAAACAAGTTGCAACGCTCGTTTTTATTTTTGTACCTACCGCCAGTTTGAGTAGATAGAAGTATAAAATGAATATATGAAACAATAACGAAAAACATGAATGAATAAAGAATATTAAAGTAATGAACAAACAGAATTACAAAATATAAAACGTTGAATGTATAATACCCAACACACTGTACATAAGTGTCATGAAGTGAATTGTCATTGTTTCACATTCAAAAAGGTTATTTCATTTATTTATTTATTTATTTAAAATGCTTTAACTCACCAAAAAACATTCGCGGCCCAAGAGCTGAATTACAGGTTTTTTAGTGTTTTTTTTTACAAAGTATACATCAGTGACAAAGTAAAATTACACTATGCGTATTATCATTATGGTAGTAAATCGCGATTCGTTTTGTACATATAATATATAATTTTGCTTCTACGACACCTGCTCCGGCTACAATTACTCCGCGGCAATTAAGTACATGGATCAAACTCCCGATCCCAACCCGGTCAGGAAATTTACCTATATCGCACCTAACCCCAACACCAAGCACAGATCCAGCACCCAAACCAAATTCAACCCCAACCCCACATCCCTGATGAAATAAAGCCTGGGGCAACCGCCGTCGGAGCATGTGTCGTGTCGCCATCTTTGTACATTGTGGCAGATTACTTGGTACATATACAGAAATCTGAATATTATAATCATATTTACATTACAATTATATGTTGAACTTATACAATATATGAATATAAATATATTTGTTTGAAATTCTTATGAATTAAATGTTGTGGTGGAAATTGCATAGCCAGATGTGTAGTGTTTTTTCTTTAATAACAGAAACAAAGACAATAACAGAAACCAATAATAATAATAATACTCAACTTTTATATAGCGCGAATTACAATTAAGTTTCTAAGCGCTTCCAAACTTTGAGATTATTATCCATGTTTAGCTGTGCTGCCTTTACGGCGCTCTACCATTTCAAGGTACACATTTACATTACCTGGGTTGAGTGTGGCAAATGTAGATCAATGTCTTGTCAAAGGACATTAGTGTCGCGGCGGGACTCAAACCCCAACTTGTGATCAACAGTCCGGCGATGTAACCACTCGACCACGACCCCAAATCTGGGAATTATATAATCAAATAGATGCTACAATGAATTAAACAAATTAAACTTTGTAGGTAAAATGCAGATTTTCTTTTGTCTTTAAACCAATTTAGTAAAAGCTAGGGGAGTGCATAAACATGTTTTTCGCATAAAAACATGGTTAAAAAGTTGTCATGGTAATGATCGATATATCAATAAAGAAGCAAACAAGATTTTGCACAATTAAATCCAATTCAGTTGCTCCCATGATTGGTATCATTCACATATCACATTTCAAATTAAACATACATTTAAGGCTTTGGCAATTTGCAAGATTGTGAAAGCATCAGTATGAAATAAAAGAGAGAGTAGTGAGAGAGAGAGAGAGAGGGGGGGGGGGGGAGAGGGGTGTCAACGAGTTTAAATTCCGCATTTTTACGATTTTAAATTAGTAATCATAATTTAAAAACAAGGCAAAGTGGGGGTGAGTTGGTTGCAGAACATTTGAAGAGTCGTCAATGAAAAAAAGCCTGCAGGTGGCGCTCTTCCTATTGAACAGTTTTTCCAGTAAGAGTCGCGTAGTGTCGCATCAGATAAATGAAAGTTGGCCTACCCTCAAACATGTTCTCTCCTTCTCGAGAAATAGATGACTCAGATGACCCCCTCTCTGTTTAAAAGGATGCTTTTGTTTAATAGATGAGATGTTCCTCTCTCCAAGAATAAATAAGGTTTTCGGGATTCATTTACTCCAAGTGTTTGATGATATAACATTAAGAGAAAAAAACAATGAAAAATCCATATTGCAAATGTGCGATATCACGTATTTTGAAATAATGTACATTATTGGGCTCAAGGAATACACAAAGTCATGCTGACTTCTGAATATTATTTGTGTGTATAATGTGCGTACGTTTGCGTACTGAAAGACCTGAAAATCATTTGCGAGCGGGCATAGTGAGTGAACATGTAAACTTGAGAAGAAAAAAAATAGGGGGGGGGGGGTCGCGCGAACCCCATAACCCCTAGTTTGTACGGGGTGCAAAATGTTTGTTTCACCTTTACGTATGCAATTAAAAAATGAATGAAATAAATTGTAACGAGGCACTGTCTTAACAACGATTTACCCATATACATGTAATTTGATTATATTACGAAAATGGTTATGTATTTTGTATGCGTATTCATTTTTGTGAACATTGTGGAAGATCTCCACTAGCAGTCCTCATTTTGGAAAATAATCAGTGTGTAGTTTTTAGAAAATTTTTCGTGCCTAAGCTTTGGGCAAGCTCTAATAAAAGTCAATTAAATACCAACACACACACATTTCTTGTAGTAAGTTGTAAAGCGGGATAGATGCATTCTTTCAGATTTTCCTTTGACTCAACATGGCGAAGGGTGATGAAACTTATTCGAGGTAAATTCTGAAAGGTTTTATTGTGAAAATCTCAAAATCGCAGTGCTTGCATTTCCATAATTTTAGTTAAACGAATTCGTGTTTACTGGCTGCCTGCCGTAACAACAAACGGAATTAACAAAAGACTTAACTCCGTTTCGTTGACAATCGGCCATAGACGAAAGACTTCATGCATGGCAATTCTGCTTGTTGCTATACGGGAGGAAGCCAGTGAAAAACGAATTCGTTTGAAAAAAATATGGAAATGCAAGCACTACTTTAAACAAACAGAACTTTGCAATTCCTCGCTCATTTTTCCTAATTGAGGGATTATATGAAAGGGCAGGAACTCAACTTTCTAGACATGTGATTTTCTCTATGAAATTCAGATACCGTCCGCCAAATGAATTTTTGGTTTCCTCTCTTCAAATTCATTTTAATAACTCATGAGTTGCATCAAATGAAAGAAGAGGATCTAAGCTTTCCAAATATGTGTCTTTTATTAATTATAAATGTGTCTAAATTATGACAAAACATCGATAATTCTCGGTTTCGTTTTTTCTGGACGCACTGTATAAGTAATATAATTATAATGTCTATAAATGCTAGAGGGCGTAGCGAATGAGCTCTTATCTTGAGAAAATTTGTTTAACATATGGTGACTGAGATTTTCACGATAAACCTTACCGAATTTACCTCAAATAAGTTTTCAAAACCCTTCGTCATGCCTGATTCAATGGCAAATGTGAAAGAACCCATCTATCCCACTTCAATTCTTACTACAAAAACATAATACAATTTCTCCACTTCATGAGACTATTATTATCATTTTTTTTTATCTTTTAAAACTTTTATTTATCAAGTAATTCGTATATTCATCATGATAACAATAATCATAACAATCACTGCACAATAATTACAAAGGTAAAAACAAATGAAAAACGTCCAACAATACAGAAATAGTGGGTAACACTTTCTTTTCTACAGTATATATCATAGGATTAAAATCAAAATAATTCTTCCACAGGGGACCATTTCTTATAGTGCATTCCTTCAATCTTCTTTTGTTTTGCAATGTTAAGTTCTATATATTTCGTGTTACTGATAAAAGACATGAGCCCACTTAAACATGGTTTTGCGTTTTTGCATTTTTGGATATAAATATATCTTTTAAACATAAGCAACAAGTGATTCAATAACATCATATTGGGCCCTTTCCAATCTTTGATGAATCCAAACATTATTCTTTTCTTGCTGAAATCTTCAAACTTAACTTTAAATTTCGTGCCAATATTATCAACAAGTTCCTGTCTAAGCTTAGAAGCAACATCACAGTCATAAAATAAATGAACAGGTGTTTCTAAAGTTGAATTACAAAAGGTACACATCTCTGACTCAACTAATTTCATCTTATACAATCTGTTATTAGTATAAAGTATGTTATGTGACAGTTTGAATTGGAAAACTCTCATTTTTACTTCAATTGTGCACTTGAAAGGTAAAATATAGATTTGTGACCAGTCGTTTTCTTGAATATCAAAGTGCTAGAGAATAATTGTTCACAAACTGGTCTTGCTATTACTTCAGAAAGAAAACCCTAATACACTATTTTCGACTTGAGTTTATATAGTTCAGATAACAGGAACTCTAATTGAGAGTGCTCTTCACTTTATCTATTAAAAAAAAATTGAATACCAAGGGAACAAATTCACATTTCCACTTTTTCTTCACAGAGTTCACTATTGCCATGTATTGTAAAAAAATATTTGTTTGAAACACCTTTTTCATTCCAAAAATCAAAATGGAGAATTTTTCCATTGTTATCAAACAATTGGTATATATTTCAAAGCCCTGCCTCATGTAATGCTCTGCAGTATTATGACCTGTTATCAACCAGAATGAACTTATTATTCCAGACACTCTGCTTCAGTATACTG